ACCATCATCACCCTGCACCATCACCATCACATTCACCATCACCATCACCACCATCATCATCATCATCACCATCACATTCACCCCCGTCATCACCACCATTATCATCACCCTGCACCATCACCACCATCATCACCATCATCATCACCATCATCATCACCATCATCACCATCATCATTACCATCATCATCACCATCATCATCACCACCATCATCATCATCACCATCATCACCACCATCATCATCACCCTGCACCATCACCATCACATTCACCATCATCATCACCATCTTCACCACCATCATCACCACCATCATCATCACCCTGCACCATCACCATCACATTCACCCCCATCATCACCATCACCACCATCATCACCACCATCACCATCATCACCCTGCACCATCACCCCCATCATCATCACCACCATCACCCCCATCATCACCACCATCATCACCCCCATCATCACCACCATCATCACCATCATCATCACCATCACCACCATCATCACCACCATCACCACCATCACCCCCATCATCACCACCATCATGATCACCACCATCACCATCATCACCCGCATCATCATCACCATCACCACCATCATCACCACCATCATCACCCTGCACCATCACCCCCATCATCATCACCACCATCACCCCCATCATCACCACCATCATCACCATCACCACCATCATCACCATCACCACCATCATCACCCTGCACCATCACCACCACCATCACCACCATCATCACCATCAGCACCACCATCACAACCATCATCACCATCACCATCATCACCATCATCACCATCACCACCATCATCACCACCACCATCATCACCATCACCACCATCATCACCATCATCATCACCACCACCACCATCACCCCCATCACAACCACCATCACCACCATCATCATCACCCTGCACCATCACCACCACCATCACCATCACCAACATCACCACCATCACCACCACCATCACCAACACCATCACCATCACCACCATCACCACCACCATCATCACCATCACCAACATCACCACCATCACCATCACCAACATCACCATTATCACCATCACCAACATCACCACCATCACCATCACCAACACCATCACCATCTCCACCATCACCAACATCACCACCATCACCACCACCACCATCACCACCACCATCATCACCATCACCACCACCACCATCACCACCACCACCACCATCATCACCATCACCAACATCACCACCATCACCACTACCACCATCATCACCACCATCACCACCACCATCACCATCACCAACACCATCACCATCACCACCATCATCACCATCATCACCATCATCATCACCACCACCACCATCACCCCCATCACAACCACCATCACCACCATCATCATCACCCTGCACCATCACCACCACCATCACCATCACCAACATCACCACCATCACCACCACCATCACCATCACCAACACCATCAACATCACCACCATCACCACCACCATCATCACCATCACCAACATCACCACCATCACCATCACCAACATCACCATTATCACCATCACCACCACCATCATCACCATCACCAACATCACCACCATCACCATCACCAACACCATCACCATCTCCACCATCACCAACATCACCACCATCACCACCACCACCATCACCATCACCACCACCATCATCACCATCACCACCACCACCATCACCACCACCACCACCACCATCATCACCATCACCAACATCACCACCATCACCACTACCACCATCATCACCACCATCACCACCACCATCACCATCACCAACACCATCACCATCACCACCATCATCACCATCACCACCATCACCATCATCACCATCATCACCATCACCAACATCACCACCATCACCAACATCACCATCATCACCATCACTATCACCACCATCACCATCATCACCACCATCACCACCACCATCATCACCATCACCACCACCACCATCACCGCCATCACCACCACCACCATCATCACCATCACCAACATCACCACCATCACCACCACCACCATCATCACCATCACCACCACCATCACCACCATCGCCACCATCACCATCACCACCATCATCACCATTACCAACATCATCACCACCAACACCACCATCACAACCACCATCATCACCATCACCACCATCACCAACATCATCACCACCATCACCACCACCATCATCACCACCATCACCATCACGCAATGGTAGGGGGGGATTGGGTGGATGTAGTGGGGGGGGGTAGTGGGGGGGGTGTAGTGGGGGGGGTAGTGGGGGGGTGTAGTGAGGGGGGTAGTGGGGGGGGTGTAGTGGGGGGGGGAGTGGGGGAGTGAGAGGGGGGGGAGTGGCGGGGGAGTGGGGGAAGTAGTGGGGGGGAGTGCGGGGGAGTGTGGGGGGAGTGGGAGGGTTAGTGGCGGGGTGTAGTAGGGGGGGTAGTGGGGGGGTAGTGGGGGGGGGAAGGGGGTAGTGGGGGCTGTAGTGGGGGGGGGGGGGTTAGTGGGGGTGTAGTGGTTGGTGTAGTGGGGGGTGTAGTGGGGGGTGTAGTAGGGGGGGTAGTGGGGGGGTGTAGTGGGGGGGTGTAGTGGGGGGGTGTAGTGGGGGGGTGTAGTGGGGGGGTGTAGTGGGGGTGTGTAGTGGGGGGGTGTAGTGGGGGGGTGTAGTGGGGGGGTGTAGTGGGGGGGTGTAGTGGGGGGGTGTAGTGGGGGAGTGTAGAAGGGGGGGTGTAGTGGGGGGGGGGGGGGGTGTAGTGGGGGGGTGTAGTGGGGGGGGTGTAGTGGGGGGGTGTAGTGGGGGGATGTAGTGGGGGGGGGGGGGTGTAGTGGGGGGTGTAGTGGGGGGGTGTAGTGGGGGGGTTAGTGGGGGGGGTGTAGTGGTGGGTGTAGTGGGGGGGGTGTAGTGGGGGGGTGTAGTGGGGGGGTGTAGTGGGGGGTGTAGTGGGGGGGTGTAGTGGGGGGGTGGAATAGTGGGGGGTGTAGTGGGGGGGTGTAGTGGGGGGGTGTAGTGGGGGGGGTGTAGTGGGGGGGTGTAGTGGGGGAGTGTAGAAGGGGGGGTGTAGTGGGGGGGTGTAGTGGGGGGGGGGGGGGGGGGTGTAGTGGGGGGGGTGTAGTGGGGGGGTTGTAGTGGGGGGGTGTAGTGGGGGGGTGTAGTGGGGGGTGTAGTGGGGGGTGTAGTGGGGGGGGTTAGTGGGGGGGGTGTAGTGGGGGGGTTAGTGGGGGGGGTGTAGTGGGGGGTGTAGTGGGGGGGTGTAGTGGGGGGGTGTAGTGGGGGGGTGTAGTGGGGGGTGTAGTGGGGGGGTTAGTGGGGGGGGGGGTGTAGTGGGGGGTGTAGTGGGGGGGGTGTAGTGGGGGGGTGTAGTGGGGGGGTGTAGTGGGGGGGGTGTAGTGGGTGGGTGTAGTGGGGGGGTGTAGTGGGGGGGTTAGTGGGGGGGTGTAGTGGGGGGTGTAGTGGGGGGGTGTAGTGGGGGGGTGTAGTGGGGGGTGTAGTGGGGGGTGTAGTGGGGGGTGTAGTGGGGGGGTGGAATAGTGGGGGGGGTGTAGTGGGGGGGTGTAGTGGGGGGGGTGTAGTGGGGGGGTGTAGTGGGGGAGTGTAGAAGGGGGGGTGTAGTGGGGGGGGGTGTAGTGGGGGGGTGTAGTGGGGGGGTGTAGTGGGGGGGTGTAGTGGGGGGATGTAGTGGGGGGGGTGTAGTGGGGGGGGTGTAGTGGGGGGGTGTAGTGGGGGGGTTAGTGGGGGGGGTGTAGTGGTGGGTGTAGTGGGGGGGTGTAGTGGGGGGGTGTAGTGGGGGGTGTAGTGGGGGGTGTAGTGGGGGGGGTTAGTGGGGGGGGTGTAGTGGGGGGGTTAGTGGGGGGGTGTAGTGGGGGGTGTAGTGGGGGGGTGTAGTGGGGGGTGTAGTGGGGGGGTGTAGTGGGTGGGTGTAGTGGGGGGGTTAGTGGGGGGGGGGGGGGGTGTAGTGGGGGGTGTAGTGGGGGGGGTGTAGTGGGGGGGTGTAGTGGGGGGGTGTAGTGGGGGGGTGTAGTGGGTGGGTGTAGTGGGGGGGTGTAGTGGGGGGGTTAGTGGGGGGGTGTAGTGGTGGGTGTAGTGGGGGGGTGTAGTGGGGGGTGTAGTGGGGGGGTGTAATAGTGGGGGGGTGGAATAGTGGGGGGGTGTAGTGGGGGGGTGTAGTGGGGGGGTGTAGTGGGGGAGTGTAGAAGGGGGGGTGTAGTGGGGGGGGGGGTGTAGTGGGGGGGTGTAGTGGGGGGGGTGTAGTGGGGGGGTGTAGTGGGGGGATGTAGTGGGGGGGGGTGTAGTGGGGGGGTGTAGTGGGGGGTTAGTGGGGGGGTTAGTGGGGGGGTTAGTGGGGGGGTGTGGTGGAGGGGTGTAGTGGGGGGGTTGTAGTGGTGGGTGTAGTGGGGGGGTGTAGTTGTGGGGGGGTGTAGTGGGGGGGTGTAGTGGGGGTGGGTGTAGTGGGGGGGTGTAGTGGGGGGGTGTAGTGGGGGGAGTGACCATGGTGGTGTCGTGTGAGAACCCCAGGGCGAGGTATCCGAGGTCCGGGCCGCTCATCTCCACGGCAACGGAGTTCCCCGTTGCCGCGAGCGACGCGAAGAGGCACGGGGTGGGGGCGTTGACGAGGCAGCGCGGGGGCCACCGCAGGCAGCTGCGGTCACGCCCACAGCCAACGTCACTCACCTGGCGGGTGGGGGTGGGGGTGGTAGGGGTAGGGGTGGTGGTGGGGTTGGTGGTGGTGGTAGCGCTGGTGGAGGTGGTGATATGGGTGGAGGTGGTGGTGGTACGGGTGGAGGTGGTGGTAGCAGTGGTGGTGGTGGTACGGGTTGTGGTGGTGGTAGTACGGGTGGTGGTAGTGGTGGTAGTGGTACGGGTGGAGGAGGTGCTACGGGTGGTGGTGGTACGGGTGGTGGTGGTACGGGTGATGGTGGTGGTGGTACGGGTGGTGGTACAGGTGGTAGTGGTACGGGTGGAGGTGGTGGAGGTAGTGGTGGTAGTGGTATGGGTGGAGGAGGTGGTACGGGTGGTGGTGGTGGTACGGGTGGTGGTGGTGGTGGTACGGGTGGAGGAGGTAGTGGTACTGGTAGTGGTACTGGTGGTGGTACGGGTGGTGGTGGTGGTGGTAGTGATACAGGTGATGATGGTGGTACGGGTGGAGGTGGTGGTGGTGGTCGTGGTGGTGGAGGTGGTGGTGGTACTGGTAGTGGTACTGGTGGTGGTACGGGTGGAGGTGGTGGTGGTACGGGTGGTGGTGCAGGGTGCCGCTGGGGCTGTCACCGGCTGTGTGAGTGGGACGCTGCCCAGGAGTGGCCATGGGGAGTCCGTGGCCCACGCCGTGCCCGGCCCCGGCATGGGGACGCCCACACGCACCAGCACGTCGCCACGCTGGGCCACCCAGTAGGTGGACAAGGCACGCACCAACGTAGCGCTGCCGGGGGCGGACACACGCGGGGAGTGGTGGTGAGCTGGTGGGTGGGGGGGTGAGTGGGGGGGTGGGTGGGGGGGTGGGGGGGGTGGGTGGGTGAGTGAGCGAGTGGGTGAGTGGGTGGGTGAGTGGGTGGGTGAGTGAGTGAGTGGGGGGTGGGTGAGTGGGTGAGTGAGTGAGTGAGTGGGGGGTGGGTGAGTGGGTGAGTGGGTGGGTGAGTGGGTGAGTGAGTGGGTGGGTTAGTGAGTGGGTGGGTAGGTGAGTGGGGGGGTGAGTGGGTGAGTGGGCGAGTGGGTGGGAGGGTGAGTGGGTGGGTGAGTGGGTGAGTGAGTGGGTGGGTGGGTGAGTGGGTGAGTGAGTAGGTGGGTGGGTGAGTGAGTGGTGAGCGAGTGAGTGGGTGGGTTAGTGAGTGGGTGGGTGGGTAGGTGAGTGGGGGGGGTGAGTGGATGAGTGGGCGAGTGGGTGGGTGAGTGGGCGAGTGAGTGAGTGGGTGAGTGAGTGGTGAGCGAGTGAGTGGGTGGGTTAGTGAGTGGGTGTGTGGATAGGTGAGTGGGGGGGTGAGTGGGTGAGTGGGCGGGTGAGTGGGTGAGTGAGTGGCTGAGTGAGTGGGTGGTTGCGTGAGTGCGTGAGTGAGTGTGTGAGTGAGTGAAAGATCTGGGCAAGATCCCATCGGTGAGCTCCTCCGGCGGGCAAGGCTGCGTTGTCTGGGTCATGTAGCCCGCATGCCCAGCCACCGCATGCCGAAACAGCTTTTGTTCGGCCGGATTGAGGGAGCTAAGCGGGCGCGGCACGGGCTAGAGAAGAGATGGAGTGATGTGGTACAGGAGGACGTGGAGCTGAGTGGACTTGCCTATGACTGGTACCAGCGGTGTCAAGATCAGCCTCTGTGGAGGAGGCTCGTGAAGGACGCTACTGGACAGTTGGAGGTAGTCGCCCTCCAACAACAACGGAGGGCGGAGGAGCGACGCTCAGAACAACGAGCGGAGCGCCGGGTGGCTAAAGCACAGCAGGTTGGCACAGTAGGGGGCACAGGTGGTGCATCAGCCAGTCATCTCAGTCATCTCAGTTAATCGACCCGTGGCATCTGGGTCTGCCCCGTGACCTCCTGCCAGCGGGCGTTCGACACTTCACGTGGCCTCAGCGTGCACATAGCCTGGCACAAGCGTCGTGGTGACATCACCGCCACTTAGTGGCAAATGGCGGTTGTTGTTGAGTGAGTGAGTGGGTGAGTGTGTGAGTGAGTGAGTGAGTGGGTGAGTGAGTGAGTGGTGAGTGAGTGGGTGAGTGAGTGTGTGAGTGGCAGAGTGAGTGAGTGGCTGAGTGAGTGAGTGGCTGAGTGAGTGAGTGAGTGGCTGCGTGAGTGAGTGGCTGAGTGAGTGGTGAGTGAGTGGGTGAGTGGGTGAGTGGGTGAGTGAGTGAGTGGGTGAGTGAGTGGGTGAGTGAGTGTGTGAGTGTGTGAGTGAGTGAGTGCTTGCATGAGTGAGTGGGTGAGTGAGTGGATGGGTGAGTGAGTGGGTGGGTGAGTGAGTGAGTGGTTGCGTGAGTGAGTGGGTGAGTGAGTGGGTGGGTGAGTGAGTGGTGAGTGAGTGGGTGAGTGGGTGAGTGTGTGAGTGAGTGGGTGAGTGGGTGAGTGGGTGAGTGAGTGAGTGGGTGAGTGAGTGAGTGGGTGAGTGAGTGGTGAGTGAGTGGGTGAGTGAGTGAGTGAGTGGGTGAGTGGGTGAGTGAGTGAGTGGGTGAGTGAGTGGGTGAGTGGGTGAGTGAGTGGGTGAGTGAGTGAGTGGTGAGTGAGTGAGTGACCGAGTGAGTGGGTGAGTGAGTGAGTGAGTGTGTGAGTGGCTGAGTGAGTGAGTGGCTGAGTGAGTGAGTGGCTGAATGAGTGTGTGAATGAGTGAGTGGTGAGTGAGTGAGTGGCTGAGTGAGTGAGTGGTGAGTGAGTGAGTGGGTGAGTGGGTGAGTGAGTGAGTGGGTGAGTGAGTGGGTGAGTGGGTGAGTGAGTGGGTGAGTGAGTGAGTGGTGAGTGAGTGAGTGAGCGAGTGAGTGGGTGAGTGAGTGAGTGAGTGTGTGAGTGGCTGAGTGAGTGAGTGGCTGAGTGAGTGAGTGGCTGAATGAGTGTGTGAGTGAGTGAGTGGTGAGTGAGTGAGTGGCTGAGTGAGTGAGTGGTGAGTGAGTGAGTGAGCGAGTGAGTGGGTGAGTGAGTGAGTGGGTGGGTGAGTGAGTGGGTAAGTGAGTGGCTGAGTGAGTGAGTGAGTGGTGAGTGAGTGGCTGAGTGGGTGAGTGGGTGAGTGAGTGAGTGAGTGGGTGAGTGAGTGGGTAAGTGAGTGGCTGAGTGGGTGAGTGAGTGGCTGAGTGAGTGGCTGAGTGAGTGGTGAGTGAGTGAGTGAGCGAGTGAGTGAGCGGGTGAGTGAGTGGGTGAGTGAGTGAGTGAGTGGTGAGCGAGTGGGTGAGTGGAGTTACCGGAACATGATGTAGTCTGGGCTGGGGTTGGGAGCGATCCACGTGACCTGGACACGTCGCTTCTCAGCGCTGTTCCTGTGACTCACCGCCGAGTTCTGTGCGACACAAACAAAGGTCCCCCGGGTAGCCTCACCGCACAGCCTGTTGGGGGCAAGTGCTGATAGCAGCAGCAGCTTGACCCCGTGGGTGGTGACCCCGTGAGTGGTGACCCCGTGAGTAGTGACCCCGTGAGTGACCCCGTGAGTAGTCACCCCGTGAGTGACCCCGTGAGTGACCCCGTGAGTGACCCTGTGAGTGACCCCGTGAGTAGTGACCCCGTGAGTAGTGACCCCGTGAGTGACCCCGTGAGTGACCCCGTGAGTAGTGACCCCGTGAGTAGTGACCCCGTGAGTAGTGACCCCGTGAGTAGTGACCCCGTGAGTGACCCCGTGAGTAGTGACCCCGTGAGTAGTGACCCCGTGAGTGACCCCGTGAGTGACCCCGTGAGTGACCCTGTGAGTGACCCCGTGAGTGACCCTGTGAGTGACCCCGTGAGTAGTGACCCCGTGAGTGACCCCGTGAGTGACCCCGTGAGTGACCCCGTGAGTGGTGACCCCGTGAGTGACCCCGTGAGGAGTGACCCCGTGAGTGACCCCGTGAGTGACCCCGTGAGTGACCCCATGAGTAGTGACCCCGTGAGTAGTGACCCCGTGAGTGGTGACCCCATGAGTGACCACGTGAGTGACCACGTGAGTGACCCCGTGAGTAGTGACCATGTGAGTGACCCCGTGAGTAGTGACCACGTGAGTGGTGACCCCGTGAGTGGTGACCCCGTGAGTAGTGACCCCGTGAGTGACCCCGTGAGTAGTGACCACGTGAGTAGTGACCACGTGAGTGGTGACCACGTGAGTGGTGACCCCGTGAGTGACCCCGTGAGTGGTGACCCCGTGAGTGGTGACCCCGTGAGTGACCCCGTGAGTGGTGACCCCATGAGTAGTGACCCCGTGAGTGGTGACCCCGTGAGTAGTGACCCCGTGAGTAGTGACCCCGTGAGTGACCACGTGAGTGGTGACCCCGTGAGTGGTGACCCCGTGAGTGGTGACCCCGTGAGGAGTGACCCCGTGAGTGACCCCGTGAGTGGTGACCCCGTGAGTGACCCCGTGAGTGGTGACCACGTGAGTGGTGACCACGTGAGTGGTGACCCCTTGAGTGACCCCGTGAGTGACCCCGTGAGTGGTGACCATGTGAGTGGTGACCCCGTGAGTGACCACGTGAGTGACCCCGTGAGTGACCCCATGAGTGACCACGTGAGTGACCACGTGAGTAGTGACCCCGTGAGTGACCCCGTGAGTGACCCCGTGAGTAGTGACGACGTGAGTGGTGACCCCGTGAGTAGTGACCCCGTGAGTGGTGACCACGTGAGTGACCACGTGAGTGGTGACCACGTGAGTAGTGACCCCGTGAGTGGTGACCCCGTGAGTGACCACGTGAGTGGTGACCACGTGAGTAGTGACCCCGTGAGTGGTGACCCCGTGAGTGACCCCGTGAGTGGTGACCCCGTGAGTGACCACGTGAGTGGTGACCCCGTGAGTGACCCCGTGAGTGGTGACCACGTGAGTGACCCCGTGAGTGGTGACCCCGTGAGTGACCACGTGAGTGGTGACCACGTGAGTGACCACGTGAGTGGTAACCACGTGAGTAGTGACCCCGTGAGTGGTGACCCCGTGAGTGACCACGTGAGTGGTGACCACGTGAGTAGTGACCCCGTGAGTGGTGACCCCGTGAGTGACCCCGTGAGTGGTGACCCCGTGAGTGACCACGTGAGTGGTGACCACGTGAGTGACCACGTGAGTGGTGACCACGTGAGTAGTGACCCCGTGAGTGGTGACCCCGTGAGTGACCACGTGAGTGGTGACCACGTGAGTGACCCTGTGAGGAGTGACCCCGTGAGTGACCACGTGAGTGACCCCGTGAGTGGTGACCACGTGAGTGGTGACCATGTGAGTGACCACGTGAGTGGTGACCACGTGAGTGACCCTGTGAGGAGTGACCCCGTGAGTGACCACGTGAGTGACCACGTGAGTGACCACGTGAGTGACCACGTGAGTGGTGACCACGTGAGTGGTGACCCCGTGAGTGGTGACCACGTGGTACCGCTCTGCCCCCACAGTCCAGCAGCTGCCCCTCTGCTGCCCCCGTGAGGATGAAGGTCCCCAGGGGGCTGCCCAGCCCCCGCGTGGGGTCCAGCGCCTGCAGCAAGAAGCCGAGGAAGGGGGCGGTCCCCGCATCCACGGTCGCTATGGTAACTGGGGCGGGGCATGGGGGGGGTGATGGTAGTGTGGGTAGGTTGTGGTGTGTAGTGTGGGTAGGTTGTGGTGTGTAGTGTGTGTAGTGTGTGTAGTGTGTGGTGTGTGTGTGTGTGGTGTGTGTGTGGTGTGTGTGTGGTGTGTGTGTGGTGTGTGTGTGTGTGTAGTGTGTGTGTGTAGTGTGTGTAGTTGTGTGGTGTGTGTAGTGTGTGTGTGTAGTGTGTGTGTGTAGTGTGTGTGTGTAGTGTGTGTAGTGTGTGTGTAGTGTGTGTGTGTAGTGTGTGTAGTGTGTGTGTAGTGTGTGTGTACTGTGTGTGTAGTGTGTGTGTAGTGTGTAGTGTGTCTGTGTAGTTGTGTGTGTGTGTAGTGTGTGTAGTGTGTGTGTGTGTGGTGTGTGTGTGTGTAGTGTGTAGTGTGTGTGTGTAGTGTGTGGTGTGTGTGTGTAGTGTGTGTAGTGTGTGTGTAGTGTGTGTAGTGTAGTGTGTGTAGTGTGTGTGTGTAGTTGTGTGTGTGGTGTGTGTGTGTGTAGTGTGTGTGTGTAGTGTGTGTGTAGTGTGTGTGTGTAGTGTGTGTAGTGTGTGTGTGTAGTGTGTGTGTAGTGTGTGTAGTGTGTGTGTGTAGTGTGTGTAGTGTGTGTGTGTAGTGTGTGTGTAATGTGTGTGTGTAGTGTGTGTGTAGTGTGTGTGCGTAGTGTGTATGTGTAGTGTGTGTAGTGTGTGTGTAGTGTGTGTGTGGTGTGTGTGTGTGTAGTTGTGTGTGTGTGTAGTGTGTGTAGTTGTGTGTTTGTAGTGTGTGTGTAGTGTGTGTGTAGTGTGTGTAGTGTGTGTGTGTAGTGTGCGTAGTGTGCGTGTGTAGTGTGTGTAGTGTGTGTGTAGTGTGCGTGTGTAGTGTGTGTGTAGTGTGTGTGTAGTGTGTGTGTGTAGTGTATGTGTAGTGTGTGTGTGTGTAGTGTGTGTGTAGAGTCTGTGTGTAGTGTGTGTGTAGTAGTATGTGTGTGGTGTGTGTATGTGTAGTATGTGTGTAGTGTGTGTGTAGTGTATGTGTAGTGTGTGTAGTATGTGTGTGTGTAGTGTGTGTGTAGTGTGTGTGTGTAGTGTGTGTGTGTGCTGTGTGTGTGATGTGTGTGTGCAGTGTGTGTGTAGTATGTGTGTAGTGTGTGTGTGTAATGTGTGTGTAGTGTGTGTGTAGTGTTTGTAGTGTGTGTGTAGTGTGTGTGTGTAGTGTGTGTGTGTGTAATGTGTGTGTATAGTGTGTGTGTAGTGTGTGTGTAGTGTGTGTATTGTGTGTGTGTAGTGCGTGTGTGTAGTGTGTGTGTAATGTGTGTGTGTAGTGTGTGTGTAGTGTGTGTGTAGTGTGTGTGTAGTGTGTGTGTGTAGTGTGTGTAGTGTGTGTGTAGTGTGTGTGTAGTGTGTGTGTAGTGTGTGTATTTTGAGTGTGTGTAGTGTGTGTGTACTGTGTGTGTGGTGTGTGTGTAGTGTATGTGTAGTGTGTGTGTGTGTAGTGTGTGTGTGTGTGGTGTGTGTGTGTGTGTAGTGTGTGTAGTGTGTGTAGTGTGTGTGTGTGTGTAGTGTGTGTAGTGTGTGTGTAGTGTGTGTAGTGTGTGTAGTGTGTGTGTAGTGTGTGTATAGTGTGTGTATAGTGTGTGCAGTGTGTGTGTAGTGTGTGTAGTGTGTGTAGTGTGTAGTGTGTGTGTAGTGTGTGTGTGTGGTGTGTGTGTGTAGTGTGTGTGTAGTGTGTGTGTAGTGTGTGTGTGTAGTGTGTGTGTAGTGTGTGTGTAGTGCGTGTGTGTAGTGTGTGTAGTGTGTGTGTGTATGTGTGTGTAGCTGTGTGTGTGTAGTGTGTGTGTGGCTGTGTGTGTGTAGCTGTGTGTAGCTGTGTGTGTGTAGTGTGTATGTAGCTGTGTGTGTAGCTGTGTGTGTGTAGCTGTGTGTAGCTGTGTGTACAGCTGTGTGTGTGTAGTGTGTGTGTGGTGTGTGTAGCTGTGTGTGTAGCTGTGTGTGTAGTGTGTGTGTATGTGTGTGTAGCTGTGTGTGTAGCTGTGTGTGTAGTGTGTGCGTATATGTGTGTGTAGCTGTGTGTGTAGTGTGTGTAGCTGTGTGTGTGTAGTGTGTGTATGTGTATGTGTGTATAGCTGTGTGTAGCTGTGTGTGTGTAGCTGTGTGTGTGTAGTGTGTGTGTGTAGCTGTGTGTGTGTAGCTTGTGTAGCTGTGTGTGTAGTGTGTGTGGTGTGTGTGGTGTGTGGTGTGTGTAGTGTGTGTGTGTGGTGTGTGTGTATGTGTGTGTAGCTGTGTGTGGCTGTGTGTGTAGTGTGTGTAGTGTGTGTGTAGTGTGTGTAGTGTGTGTGTGTAGCTGTGTGTGTAGTGTGTGTGTATGTGTGTGTGTATAGCTGTGTGTAGCTGTGTGTGTAGTGTGTGTGGCTGTGTGTGTAGCTGTGTGTAGCTGTTTGTAGCTGTGTGTGTAGTGTGTGTGTAGCTGTGTGTGCGTGCAGCTGTGTGTAGCTGTGTGTGGCTGTGTGTGTAGTGTGTGTGGCTGTGTGTGTAGCTGTTTGTAGCTGTGTGTGTAGTGTGTGTGTAGCTGTGTGTGCGTGCAGCTGTGTGTAGCTGTGTGTAGCTGTGTGTGGCTGTGTGTGTAGTGTGTGTGGCTGTGTGTAGTTGTTTGTAGCTGTGTGTGTAGTGTGTGTGTAGCTGTGTGTGCGTGCAGCTGTGTGTAGCTGTGTGTGGCTGTGTGTGTAGTGTGTGTGTAGTGTGTGTAGCTGTTTGTAGCTGTGTGTGTGTAGTGTGTGTGTGTGTAGCTGTGTGTGTGTGTTGCTTGTGTAGCTGTGTGTGTAGTGTGTGTGGTGTGTGTGGTGTGTGTGTGTGTGTGGTGTGTGTGTAGTGTGTGTGTGGTGTGTGTGTGTGTGTGTAGCTGTGTGTGGCTGTGTGTGTAGCTGTGTGTGGCTGTGTGTGTAGTGTGTGTGGCTGTGTGTGTAGCTGTGTGTAGCTGTGTGTGTAACTGTGTGTGTAGTGTGTGTAGCTGTGTGTGTGTAGTGTGTGTGTGTATGTGTGTGTAGTGTGTGTGGCTGTGGGTGTAGCTGTTTGTAGCTGTGTGTGTAGTGTGTGTGTAGCTGTGTGTGCGTGCAGCTGTGTGTAGCTGTGTGTGGCTGTGTGTGTAGTGTGTGTGGCTGTGTGTATAGCTGTTTGTAGCTGTGTGTGTAGTGTGTGTGTAGCTGTGTGTGCGTGCAGCTGTGTGTAGCTGTGTGTGGCTGTGTGTGTAGTGTGTGTGTAGTGTGTGTAGCTGTTTGTAGCTGTGTGTGTAGCTGTGTGTGGCTGTGTGTGTAGCTGTGTGTGGCTGTGTGTGTAGTGTGTGTGTAGTGTGTGTAGCTGTTTGTAGCTGTGTGTGCGTAGTGTGTGTGTGTAGCTGTGTGTGTGTAGCTTGTGTAGCTGTGTGTGTAGTGTGTGTGGTGTGTGTGGTGTGTGTGTGTGGTGTGTGTGTAGTGTGTGTGTGGTGTGTGTGTGTATGTGTGTGTAGCTGTGTGTGGCTGTGTGTGTAGCTGTGTGTGTAGCTGTGTGTGGCTGTGTGTGTAGTGTGTGTGGCTGTGTGTGTAGCTGTGTGTAGCTGTGTGTGTAGCTGTGTGTGTAGTGTGTGTGTAGTGTAGCTGTGTGTGTGTAGTGTGTGTAGTGTGTGTGTAGCTTGTGTAGCTGTGTGTGTAGTGTGTGTGGTGTGTGTGGTGTCTGTGCGTGGTGTGTGTGTGTGTGGTGTGTGTGTATGTGTGTGTAGCTCTGTGTAGTGTGTGTGTGTATAGTTGTGTGTGTAGCTGTGTGTATAGTGTGTGTATGTGTGTGTGTAGCTGTGTATGTAGTGTGTGTGGTGTGTGTGGTGTGTGTGTGTGGTGTGTGTATGTGTGTGTGTATAGCTGTGTGTGTAGCTGTGTGTGTGCAGCTGTGTGTAGCTGTTTGTAGCTGTGTGTGTAGTGTGTGTGTAGCTGTGTGTGTATGTAGCTGTGTGTGCGTGCAGCTGTGTGTAGCTGTTTGTAGCTGTGTGTGTAGTGTGTGTGTAGCTGTGTGTGTATGTAGCTGTGTGTGTGTAGAGTGTGTGTGTATGTGTGTGTAGCTGTGTGTGGCTGTGTGTGTAGCTGTTTGTAGCTGTGTGTGTAGCTGTGTGTGTAGTGTGTGTAGCTGTGTGTGTGTAGTGTGTGTGTGTATGTGTGTGTAGCTGTGTGTGTAGCTGTGTGTGGCTGTGTGTGTAGTGTGTGTGTAGCTGTGTGTGTATGTAGCTGTGTGTGTGTGCAGCTGTGTGTAGCTGTGTGTAGCTGTGTGTGTAGTGTGTGTGTAGCTGTGTGTGTATGTAGCTGTGTGTGTGTGCAGCTGTGTGTAGCTGTGTGTAGCTGTGTGTGTGTGTATGTGTGTGTAGCTGTGTGTGGCTGTGTGTGTAGCTGTGTGTGGCTGTGTGTGTATGTGTGTGTAGCTGTGTGTGTGTGCAGCTGTGTGTAGTGTGTGTGTATGTGTGTGTGTATAGCTGTGTGTGTAGCTGTGTGTGTGTGTAGCTGTGTGTGTGTAGCTGTGTGTAGCTGTGTGTGTAGTGTGTGTATGTGTGTGTGTATAGCTGTGTGTGTAGCTGTGTGTGTGTGTAGCTGTGTGTGTGTAGCTGTGTGTAGCTGTGTGTGTGTAGAGTGTGTGTGTGTATGTGTGTGTAGCTGTGTGTGGCTGTGTGTGTAGCTGTGTGTAGCTGTGTGTGTGTTTAGTGTAGCTGTGTGTGTAGTGTGTGTGGTGTGTGTGGTGTGTGTGTGTAGTGTGTGTGTATGTGTGTGTGTATAGCTGTGTGTATAGCTGTGTGTAGTGTGTGTGGCTGTGTGTGTAGCTGTGTGTAGTGTGTGTGTATATGTGTGTGTATAGCTGTGGGGAGCGATAGTGTAGCGGTTAGCGCGCTGCGCTATGAACCTGGCGACCCGGGTTCGATTCCCGCTCACGGGCAACACCAGTGACGATTATCTGAACCGGTCCCGGGCCTCCCCTAGGTCGACTCAGCCTCAAATGAGTACCTGGTGCGGTGTGTAAACATTGCCACTGGGGAGACAAAGGCGGTCGGGCGTGGTGCTGGCCACCCACCCCCTCGTGTACCGTTCCGGCCTTCATAGGTGCTCGCTAACAGCACTTGCCCCTACAGTCTGTTCAGGCTATACGGGGGATCTTTGTCTTTGTCTTTGTATAGCTGTGTGTGTAGCTGTGTGTAGTGTGTGTGTGTGTATAGCTGTGTGTGTAGCTGTGTGTAGCTGTGTGTGTAGCTGTGTGTGTAGCTGTGTGTGTAGTGTGTGTGTAGTGTGTGTGTAGTGTGTGTTTAGTGTAGCTGTGTGTGTAGTGTGTGTGGTGTGTGTGGTGTGTGTGTGTGTGTAGTGTGTGTGTATGTGTGTGTGTATAGCTGTGTGTGTAGCTGTGTGTGTAGTGTGTGTGTAGCTTGTGTAGCTGTGTGTGGCTGTGTGTGTAGCTGTGTGTGGCTGTGTGTGTAGCTGTGTGTAGTGTGTGTGTAGTGTGTGTGTATGTGTGTGTGTAGCTGTGTGTGTGTAGCTGTGTGTAGCTGTGTGTAGCTGTGTGTATAGTGTGTGTGTGTGTAGCTGTGTGTGTGTGTGGCTTGTGTAGCTATGTGTGTAGCTGTGTGTGGCTGTGTGTGTAGCTGTGTGTAGTGTGTGTGTGTGTATAGTTGTGTGTGTAGCTGTGTGTATAGTGTGTGTATGTGTGTGTGTAGCTTGTGTAGCTGTGTGTGTAGCTGTGTGTGGCTGTGTGTGTAGTGTGTGTGGCTGTGTGTGTAGCTGTGTGTAGCTGTGTGTGTAGCTGTGTGTGTAGTGTGTGTGTAGTGTGTGTGTGTTTAGTGTAGCTGTGTGTGTAGTGTGTGTGGTGTGTGTGGTGTGTGTGTGTGGTGTGTGTATGTGTGTGTGTGTAGCTGTGTGTGTAGCTGTGTGTGTGTAGTGTGTGTGTGTATCTGTGTGTAGCTGTGTGTGGCTGTGTGTGGCTGTGTGTAGCTGTGTGTGGCTGTGTGTGTAGCTGTTTGTAGCTGTGTGTGTAGTGTGTGTGGCTGTGTGTGTATGTGTGTGTAGCTGTGTGTGTGTGCAGCTGTGTGTAGCTGTGTATAGCTGTGTGTAGTGTGTGTGTATGTGTGTGTGTATGTGTGTGTAGCTGTGTGTGGCTGTGTGCAGCTACGTGTGTGTAGTGTGTGTGTATGTGTGTGTGTATAGCTGTGTGTGTAGCTGTGTGTGTGTGCAGCTGTGTGTAGCTGTGTGTAGCTGTGTGTAGCTGTTTGTAGCTGTGTGTGTGTAGTGTGTGTAGCTGTGTAGCTGTGTGCAGCTGCGTCCCTCACCCACGACAGCATCTCCCACGTTGAAGCTGCCCTGGGCAGCCTCCACGCTGTAGTTGCTGGGGCCGCTCTGTGGCCTCCCTGGGTGGCCCGGCACGAGGTCACCGCAGGCCGGGCCCACGAGGCCGCTTGAGTAGCCCTGGGCCACCTGGGGGGGCCACGGTAGCAGCAGCAGCACCACCACCAGCGGCAGGGCCATCACCGTCAGCTGTGCCGCACACAGACACAGGCAAAGGTCCCCTGAGTAGCCTCCAAGACAAGGTAGGGGCAAGTGCTGTAGAGACACTGCACACAGGCAAAGGTCCCCCGTGTAGCCTCTAGCATACTAGAGGGGCAAGTGCTGTTGGTAGCGAGTAGCAGCAGCAGCGTCTATGAAGAATACCGGCACTGTGGCACACACAGACGTACACACACACAGTGTACACACACATAGTGTACACACATACGCACACACGTAAACACACAGTGTACACACACACAGTGTACACACACACGTACACAACAACAACAACCGCCATTCGCCACTAAGTGGCGGTTACGTTACCACGACGCTTGTGCCAGGCTATGTGCACCTTGAGGCCACGTGAAGTGTCGAACGCCCGCTGGCAGGAGGTCACGGGGCAGACCCAGGTGCCACGGGTCGACTGACTAAGATGACTGGCTGATGCACCACCTGTGCCCCCTACTGTGCCAACCTGCTGTGCTTTAGCCACCGGGCGCTCCGCTCGTTGTTGTGAGCGTCGCTCCTCTGCCCTCCGTTATTGTTGGAGGGCGACTGCCTCCAACTGCCCAGTAGCGTCCTTCACGAGCCTCCTCCACAGAGGCCGATCTTGACACCGCTGGTACCAGTCATCGGCAAGTCCAATCAGCTCCACGTCCTCCTGTACCACATCATTCCATCTCTTCTCTAGCCCGTGCCGCGCCCTTTTAGCCCCCTCGATCCAGCCAAACAAAAGCTGTTTCGGCATGCGGTGGCTGGGCATGCGGGCTACGTGACCCAGCCATCGCAACCTTGCCTGCCGGAGGAGCTCACCGATGGGACCCTGCCCAGATCTTTCAAGGATTTGTGAGCTCCTCACACAATACAGCCTGGTTAAACCCAGGATGGATCGCGAAGATGTTCCATTAGGGGAGTCCACGTCACATACACGTACACGCACAGTGTACACAAGTACACACACACACGTACACACACACGTACACACAAACGTACACACACACAGTGTACACACGTACACACACACACAGTGTACACACGTACACACACACAGTGTACACACGTACACACACACACAGTGTACACACGTACACACACACACAGTGTACACACGTACACACACACACAGTGTACACACGTACACACAGTGTACACACGTACACACAGTGTACACACGTACACACAGTGTACACACGTACACACACACACAGTGTACACACGTACACACACAGTGTACACACGTACACACACACACGCACAGTGTACACACGTACACACACACAGTGTACACGTACACACACACAGTGTACACGTACACACACACAGTGTACACGTACACACACGCAGTGTACACGTACACGCACACACAGTGTACACGTACACACACACACAGTGTACACGTACACACACACACAGTGTACACGTACACACACACAGTGTACACGTACACACACACACAGTGTACACGTACACACACACACAGTGTACACGTACACACACACAGTGTACACGTACACACACACACAGTGTACACACACAGTGTACACACGTACACACACAGTGTACACACGTATACACACATGCACACACGTACACGCACAGTGTACACGTACACACACAGTGTACACACGTACGCACACAGTGTACACACGTACGCACACATGCACACTCACAGTGTACACACAGTGTACACACGTACACACACACACGTACACACACAGTGTACACACGTACACACACAGTGTACACACGTACACACACAGTGTACACACGTACACACACAGTGTACACACGTACACACAGTGTACACACGTACACACACAGTGTACACACGTACACACACACAGTGTACACACGTACACGCACAACATGCACACACGTACACACACAGTGTACACACACACGTACACACACTCACACCTGCTCTGTGTAGAACTCCACAAACCACCACCACCCAGCAGCAGCAGCTTGAGCAACAGTGACTCGTCCACACCCCCTTTGCCCTGCACTCTCACGCCATGCACCGTGTCTCTCTCTCCCCGTGTCTCTCTCTCCCCGTGTCTCTCTCTCCCCGTGTCTCTCTCTCCCCGTGTCTCTCTCTCCCCGTGTCTCTCTCTCCCCGTGTCTCTCTCTCCCCGTGTCTCTCTCTCCCCGTGTCTCTCTCTCCCCGTGTCTCTCTCTCCCCGTGTCTCTCTCTCCCCGTGTCTCTCTCTCCCCGTGTCTCTCTCTCCCCGTGTCTCTCTCTCCCCGTGTCTCTCTCTCCCCGTGTCTCTCTCTCCCCGTGTCTCTCTCCCCGTGTCTCTCTCTCCCCGTGTCTCTCTCTCCCCGTGTCTCTCTCTCCCCGTGTCTCTCTCTCCCCGTGTCTCTCTCTCCCCGTGTCTCTCTCTACCCGTGTCTCTCTCCCCGTGTCTCTCTCTCCCCGTGTCTCTCTCCCCGTGTCTCCCCCCCCGTGTCTCTCTCCCCGTGTCTCTCTCTCTGTGTCCCCGTGTCTCTCCCCGTGTCTCTCTCCCCGTGTCTCTCTCTCCCCGTGTCTCTCTCTCCCCGTGTCTCTCTCCCCGTGTCTCTCTCCCCGTGTCTCTCTCCCTGTCTCCCCCCGTGTCTCTCTCCCCGTGTCTCTCTCCCCGTGTCTCCCCCCCCCGTGTCTCTCTCTGTGTCCCCGTGTCTCTCTCTCTGTGTCCCCGTGTCTCTCTCCCCGTGTCTCTCTCCCCGTGTCTCTCTCCCCGTGTCTCTCTCTCCCCGTGTCTCTCTCTCCCCGTGTCTCTCTCTCCCCGTGTCTCTCTCCCCGTGTCTCTCTCCCCGTGTCTCTCTCCCCGTGTCTCTCTCCCTGTCTCCCCCCGTGTCTCTCTCCCCGTGTCTCTCTCCCCGTGTCTCTCTCCCCGTGTCTCTCTCTCCCCGTGTCTCTCTCCCCGTGTCTCTCTCCCCGTGTCTCTCTCCCCGTGTCTCTCTCTCCCCGTGTCTCTCTCCCCGTGTCTCTCTCCCCGTTTCTCTCTCCCCGTGTCTCTCTCTACCCGTGTCTATCTCCCCGTGTCTCTCTCCCCGTGTCTCTCTCCCCGTGTCTCTCTCTACCCGTGTCTCTCTCTCCCCGTGTCTCTCTCCCCGTGTCTCTCTCCCCGTGTCTCTCTCCCCGTGTCTCCCCCCCCGTGTCTCTCTCTGTGTCCCCGTGTCTCTCTCTCTGTGTCCCCGTGTCTCTCCCCGTGTCTCCCCCCGTGTCTCTCTCCCCGTGTCTCTCTCCCCGTGTCTCACCTCCTCACGCCGTCGCTAAGCGCTTCCTCGTGCTCGAATCGATTCCGTGACTTTTTAAGGGGAATCGATTTTTTTCACACTTCATGGGCAATGTTAGTCTATGGGCAATGTTAGTCTATGGGTAATGTTAGTCTATGGGTAATGTTAGTATATGGGCAATGTTAGTCTATGGGCAATGTTAGTCTATGGGTAATGTTAGTCTATGGGTAATGTTAGTCTATGGGCAATGCTAGTCTATGGGCAATGTTAGTCTATGGGCAATGTTAGTCTATGGGCAATGTTAGTCTATGGGCAATGTTAGTCTATGGGCAATGTTAGTCTATGGGTAATGTTAGTCTATGGGCAATGTGAGTCTATGGGCAATGTTAGTCTATGGGCAATGTTAGTCTATGGGCAATGTTAGTCTATGGGTAATGTGAGTCTATGGGTAATGTTAGTCTATGGGTAATGTTAGTCTATGGGCAATGTTAGTCTATGGGCAATGTTAGTCTATGGGCAATGTGAGTCTATGGGCAATGTTAGTCTATGGGCAATGTTAGTCTATGGGTAATGTTAGTCTATGGGTAATGTTAGTCTATGGGCAATGTGAGTCTATGGGGAATGTTAGTCTATGAGCAATGTTAGTCTATGGGCAATGTTAGTCTATGGTTAATGTTAGTCTATGGGCAATGTGAGTCTATGGGCAATGTGAGTCTATGGATAATGTTAGTGTATGGGCAATGTGAGTCTATGGGTAATGTTAGTCTATGGGCAATGTTAGTCTATGGGTAATGTTAGTCTACGGGTAATGTTAGTCTATGGGCAATGCTAGTCTATGGGCAATGTTAGTCTATGGGCAATGTTAGTCTATGGGCAATGTTAGTCTATGGGCAATGTTAGTCTATGGGCAATGTTAGTCTATGGGTAATGTTAGTCTATGGGCAATGTGAGTCTATGGGCAATGTTAGTCTATGGGCAATGTTAGTCTATGGGTAATGTTAGTCTATGGGCAATGTTAGTCTATGGGTAATGTGAGTCTATGGGTAATGTTAGTCTATGGGTAATGTTAGTCTATGGGCAATGTTAGTCTATGGGCAATGTTAGTCTATGGGCAATGTTAGTCTATGGGTAATGTTAGTCTATGGGTAATGTTAGTCTATGGGCAATGTTAGTCTATGGGCAATGTGAGTCTATGGGTAATGTTAGTCTATGAGCAATGTTAGTCTATGGGCAATGTTAGTCTATGGTTAATGTTAGTCTATGGGTAATGTTAGTCTATGGGCAATGTTAGTCTATGGGCAATGTGAGTCTATGGGCAATGTGAGTCTATGGGTAATGTTAGTCTATGGGCAATGTTAGTCTATGGGTAATGTTAGTCTATGGGTAATGTTAGTCTATGGGCAATGTTAGTCTATGGGCAATGTTAGTCTATGGGCAATGTTAGTCTATGGGTAATGTTAGTCTATGGGTAATGTTAGTCTATGGGCAATGTTAGTCTATGGGTAATGTTAGTCTATGGGTAATGTTAGTCTATGGGTAATGTTAGTCTATGGGTAATGTTAGTCTATGGGTAATGTTAGTCTATGGGCAATGTTAGTCTATGGGTAATGTGAGTATATGGGTAATGTTAGTCTATGGGTAATGTTAGTCTATGGGTAATGTTAGTCTATGGGTAATGTTAGTCTATGGGTAATGTTAGTCTATGGGCAATGTTAGTCTATGGGCAATGTGAGTCTATGGGCAATGTGAGTCTATGGGCAATGTTAGTCTATGGGCAATGTTAGTCTATGGGTAATGTTAGTCTATGGGTAATGTTAGTCTATGGGCAATGTTAGTCTATGGGTAATGTTAGTCTATGGGCAATGTTAGTCTATGGGCAATGTTAGTCTATGGGCAATGTTAGTCTATGGGCAATGTTAGTCTATGGGCAATGTTAGTCTATGGGCAATGTTAGTCTATGGGTAATGTTAGTCTATGGGTAATGTTAGTCTATGGGCAATGTTAGTCTATGGGTAATGTGAGTCTATGGGCAATGTTAGTCTATGGGCAATGTTAGTCTATGGGTAATGTTAGTCTATGGGTAATGTTAGTCTATGGGCAATGTTAGTCTATGGGTAATGTGAGTCTATTGGTAATGTTAGTCTATGGGCAATGTTAGTCTATGGGTAATGTTAGTCTATGGGCAATGCTAGTCTATGTGTAATGTGAGTCTATGGGCAATGTTAGTCTATGGGCAATATTAGTCACCGGCGAGGTAGTTAACGTCTCCTAGCCACCGTGATGATGAGAGAGACGCAGACTCCAAATTTCCAGCAGCAGCAGCAGGCATCGTCAGGGTCGGGATCGGACCCACAGGCTCACACCACCGTGACGCCGCTTAAATAAATAAAATAATATTATATGGGCAACAATAACAATACCCTTATGTGTCCTACATTTGGGCCACCCTGTATGGTAATGATGTGGCCGGGCGCGTGCCGGCCTTCAAAGGTGCTCGCTCACAGCACTTGGCCCTACAGCCTGTTCAGACTTTACCGGGGGATCTTTGTCTTTTGTGTGTGTGTGTCAGTGTGTGTGTGTCAGTGTGTGTGTCAGTGTGTGTGTGTCAGTGTGTGTGTGTCTGTGTGTGTGTCAGGGTGCGGTCAAGGGATGGCTCCCTATTGCTCAACCACGTTTTGTATGCTGATGATTTGGTAATAGCTGCTCATTCAGAGGAGGAGTTGGAGACGCTTCTGCTGAGACTGGAGCGTGCCACTAAGAGGTGGGGCCTTACCATCAGCCCCACCAAAACTAAGCACCTGCCTGGGTATTTTGTACCATCGGACACTCCACCCCCACAACTCCCAATCGGTGATGGGGCAGTTGTGGAGCGAGTGGAGAGTTTCCCATACCTGGGCAGTGTGCTTATGACCGGCTCCAGTTTAACAGCAGAGGTCTCACTCCGAATCAGTCGAGCGGCAATATCTTTTCATCGGTTGCGTAACACTGTGTGGAAGCTACCTGGTCTGTCGCTCCGCTCTAAGCTTCAGGTCTTCTCGGCCACGGTCATTCCCTCCCTTCTCTACGCTTGCGAAACGTGGACCCCCCTAATGGAACATCTTCGCCGGTTAGAAACATTTAGGCTGGCCTGCCTACGATCTATCCTGAGTTTAACCAGACTGGATTGTGTGAGGAGCTCACAAATCCTTGAAAGATCTGGGCAAGGTCCCATCGGTGAGCTCCTCCGGCGGGCAAGGCTGCGATGGCTGGGTCATGTAGCCCGCATGGCCAGCCACCGCATGCCGAAACAGCTTTTGTTCGGCCGGATTGAGGGGGCTAAACGGGCGCGGCACGGGCTAGAGAAGAGATGGAGTGATGTGGTACAGGAGGACGTGGAGCTGAGTGGACTTGCCGATGACTGGTACCAGCGGTGTCAAGATCGGCCTCTGTGGAGGAGGCTCGTGAGGGACGCTACTGGGCAGTTGGAGATAGTCGCCCTCCAACAACAACGGAGGGCGGAGGAGCGACGCTCACAACAACGAGCGGAGCGCCGGGTGGCTAAAGCACAGCAGGTTGCCACAGTAGGGGGCACAGGTGGTGCATCAGCCAGTCATCTCAGTCAGTCGACCCGTGGCACCTGGGTCTGCCCCGTGACCTCCTGCCAGCGGGCGTTCGACACTTCACGTGGCCTCAGGGTGCACATAGCCTGGCACAAGCGTCGTGGTGACGTCACCGCCATTTAGTGGCGAATGGCGGTTGTTGTGTCAGCGTGTGTGTCAGTGTTGTATTCGTCCTTGTGGTGTCTTTGTCTTGACATGTTATTATCTGTTCGTGTTTGTTGTGTCACGCGTGCACAGCCCCAAATAGCTTCCGTTCGGTCGGATAGAGAGGGCAGCTGAAGGGACTGATGGTGTGAGTGGGTGGATGAGGGGGGTGAGTGCATGGGTGGGTGAGTGAGTGGGTGAGTGAGTGGGTGAGTGAGTGGGTGGGTGCATGGGTGGGTGAGTGAGTGGGTGAGTGAGTGGGTGAGTGAGTGGGTAAGTGAGTGGGTGAGTGAGTGGGTGGGTGCATGGGTGGGTGAGTGAGTGGATGGGTGAGTGGGTGGGTGAGGGGGTGAGTGCATGGGTGGGTGAGTGAGTGAGTGGGTGAGTGGGTGAGTGAGTGGGTGGGTGCATGGGTGGGTGAGTGAGTGAGTGGGTGAGTGAGTGGGTGAGTGAGTGGGTGGGTGCATGGGTGGGTGAGTGAGTGGGTGAGTGAGTGGGTAAGTGAGTGGGTGAGTGAGTGGGTGGGTGCATGGGTGGGTGAGTGAGTGGATGGGTGAGTGGGTGAGTGAGTGGGTGGGTGAGGGGGTGAGTGCATGAGTGGGTGAGTGAGTGGGTGAGTGAGTGGGTGGGTGAGTGGGTGAGTGAGTGGGTGGGTGCATGGGTGGGTGAGTGAGTGGGTGAGTGAGTGGGTAAGTGAGTGGGTGGGTGAGTGAGTGGGTGAGTGAGTGAGTGGGTAAGTGAGTGGGTGGGTGAGTGAGTGGGTGAGTTAGCTAGTGAGTGGGTGAATGAGTGAGTGGGTGAGTGAGTGAGTGGGTGAGTTAATGAGTGGGTGAGTGAGTGGGTTAGTGAGTGGGTGCTGTACTAGTATATTACACTATACACCACACTGTACACTACACTACACACTAGTGCTGTACTAATATATTACACAATACACTACACTATATACTACACTACACACTACACTATACACTAGTGCTGTACTAGTATATTACACTATACACTACACTATACACTACACTATACACTAGTGCTGTACTAGTATGTTACACTATACACTACACTATATACTACACTACACACTAGTGCTGTACTAGTATATTACACTATATACTACACTATACACTACACTACACACTAGTGCTGTACTAGTATATTACACAATACACTACACTATACACTAGTGCTGTACTAGTATACTACACTATATACTAAACTATACACTACCCTACACACTAGTGCTGTCCTAGTATATTACACAATACACTACACTATATACTATACTACACACTCCACTACACACTAGTGCTGTACTAGTATGTTACACTATACACT